TCCCTCCTCAGAGCACTATGTTTGGAGACTTGACTTCCAGCACCCTAGAATGTGACTTTGCTTGGAAGTAGGGTCTTTGCAGATATAATTAATTAAGATAAGCTGGGAGGTTAGGACACAGATTGGACAATCACACAGCACATACAGAGAGCACTGTGTGAAGGCTGATGCTGCACGGCCAAAAGCCAAGGACCAGAAGTTGAGGCAAGGCCTAAAACAGATCCTTCCCTGTCCCCTTGACCTGACTTCTAGCCTCCAAACTGTGAGGCAATAAATGTCGTCATGTAAGCTACTCCGTTTGTGGTACTTCTGTTACAATAGCCCAGGAGACTAAATCTGGGAGCTGGGAAGAGGAGAGCAGAGAAGAAGGGAGTCAAGAGCCTCATCGACATTACTCACAGCTTGTTTTCCTTAGAACTTGAAAACCTTAGCGAGACACAGGGACATGGAAATGACAGATCACTTTGTATGGAAACAATCACTACTCTACTAAAATTCAACTTTAAACAGCGAGTTGAGCAAGGCACCCACTATTTAAAGAAGAAATCTTAGAATCTACCCTGGTTATACAAAAAACAATACAAAACAAAACAAAACAAAAGGATATATTTTCAAGCATGTCCAGCCCTAAAGAGCTTTTTTTTTTTTTTTTGGGGGGGGGGAGGGAGTTAGAAATCACAACCTTAACAGACCTGTTCTTGTAAAGCGTTTTCTCATGAGAAGTTTGCAGTTCTTACAAACCAAACATTACCATACTAGGTTGGTGATTAAGGAGCTGAAAACAAAACTAAGCAGGCTATTTTGATTTCATTGTCTCTCTCAACTATTTGCTTGTCATATTTCGAATAGCCCCAAATAACAAGATTGAAATGACAGACTATTTAATAAGACTTTATCTTCCATCTCTAAAAGTAACTAAAAACCCTCTGTCTAGCATGGATTCTAATGTACCTTTACCCAGGCCTCTGGTAAGCCTAGAGTTCTCCAGAAGCAGAATTCAGTAGTCCTACCCTGGAAAATGCTGACTCTCGCTAGCTCCATGCACCCTGGTAGCATTTTGTCACTAAAGCACACCAGGTGTTTGTCTCTCACCTGAGGACCTTTGCACATGCTGATCCCCATCAGGAATGTTCTTTGCTCTATGCTCCCACACACATCCCTCCCTATCCCTACCCATAGTCAAGCCAGCCTCTTGGAAAGGATGTCATCATCCTTTTATTTCTCCTGATCATATATCCTTATACGTTTCCTTTACCACTCAGTCACAATTAAAATTATTTATTATTTACTTGTTTGTTACCCTTCCCTTCCTTAAATTACTTTACACCAAGGGCCTGGTCCACAAATATTTGATCAACCAAATAACTAAGCAAACCAATGAAGGCATAATGTGATCAATCACGGCACAGTCCAGAGACTCTGTGGGAAGCTCTTTATGCCCAAGGGCTCTCAGTCCAATACCAAAGCACACAGCCTACACTTCTCATCCCAGTGGTGGAATGGATGCTTCAAGTTATCACTTGTCATCTACATGCTTCTCAAGTAAGCCTTGGTCACATGCACACTCACTTCCCTGGTTCCCAGGACAGTATTTTCTCCTGATGAACTATAATGTAGTGTTGGATTGTGATTTTTGCAATCACATTTCGGGGTTGACTTCGGGGAGAAATGGACTGAAAACATCAGTGTAATATCTGATAGCTGGCTATTTCTTTATAAATTTACAAATTTGCATCCTGACATTTAAAAAAAAGCTTTACAGTTACAAAAATACTTTCAAAATCAGGATTAATAGATCATAAGTATGGGATATTCTGGCAACACATATATGAAGTCTTTAACTTAACTCAGGAATTCTAGCGGTAGGAATTAATCCTGAGAAAATATTCATGAATGGATCCAAAAATTTCACCACAAGAATGTTCACTGCAGTTTACAATAAAAACTGGAAGCTTAAATATTCAATAATATGAAGTTGATTAGACACTCTGTGATAGTTCCCATTGAGAATAACTCTGGGCTAAGCATGATGGGCACACCTGTAATCCTAGATACTCAGGAGGCTGAGACTGAGACGATAATAGTACAAGGTCAGCCAGGCAAAAAAGTTATTGGGACCCCATCTCAATTGATAAAAGCTGAACATGGTGGCACAGACCTGTCATCCCAACTACTTGGGAAGAACAAATAGGACGACTGTGATCCAGGCCAACCTGAAAATAAGAGTGGGATGAAACGGGGTGAAGTAGGGACATAGCAAAAGCGGTAGAGCCACCTGCCAAGCAAGTATAAGGCCCTGAGTTCAAATCCCAGTAATCAAAAAAAAGGAAAAACTCTGGAGCTTTTCAAAACGCCTTGATAAAAGGAACAATAATTAATGACATGACATGGGAAATGGCCATAATTTTCTAATGCTCCCCAAAACATGTTATGAATCCATACCCAAAAATGTTTCAACTAAAATTTTTACTGAGTGGTGGGGTCATGTGTGGTTGTTATCTTCTTGCACTTATCTGTGGTTTATATTTTCTCTATATAATTGCTCATGTAAACATCTTTTGAAAAATGTTCATTTAAAAATAAGTCTAGGACTGGGAGTGGCTCAAGTGGTAGAGCGCCTGCCTAGCAAGTGCGAGGCCCCAAATTCAAACCCCAGCACCTCCAAGAAAAAAAAAATAATAAAAATAAATCTTAAGTCACAAAAAAAACCAAACACTATATGATTCTATGTATGTGAGGTACTTCATCCGTCAAATTCATAGAGAAAGTAGAAAAGTGGTTGCCAAGAACTGGGGGGAGGGTAGAATAGGAGGTGCTGTTTAATGAGTACATTGAAAGGTTTTTTGAGATGGACTGTAGCACAATGTGAATGCACTCAGTGATACTACACTATACAGTTAAAAATGGTTACGATGATAAATTTTAGACTGGGAACAGAGGCACGCACCTGTAATTAAAAAAAAAAACAGGTACGTTATATATATATTTAAAACCATACTATTTTTGATAGACGGTCTTGTGTTGCCCAGTATGGCCTGGAATTCCAGGTTCAAGAAATCCTCCTACCTCAGCCTTCCCAGTAACTGAGACTTCAGGCACATAACACTCTGCCCACTTATTTTACCACAATTTAAAAAATATGTCATTAAATCATAACTATAGCTGGATCTACAGGTGTCTCAAGATTTCTAAGTGACAGTGGTAAAACAAGCCTGACTTTGTCCTTCAACCACATGGCACTGAGTAACACAATCCACTGTGCTATCAGCTGGAGTGCACTGAGGAACGAGTGGCCATTTGCTTTGATTCCTACCATGGTCTGGTTGAGGCATTTCCTGGCTCCTTGAGACTGACAGAGGCTGCACAGTTCATTCTTCCATGGCATGGAATCTTCTTCCTTTCTTGACAGTGTCCCTCATTTGTCTCTCCAAAAAAGGAACAGGTTGGATGTCCCAGAAGCATGAATTCTACTAGGGCCTGGCTACAGCGATTGCAGGGTAGGTCCATGAAAGATTCCTGGGTACATCCTCTATGGGGTACAGGGTCATGGATTTACTCCCAAAGTCTTTCAGCCATAGCTGGTGGAGCCAGACAAAGAAAGGACTCTTATCTTAAAGATACCTCACCTCTTCACTATAAAATGAAGAGAGGAGAACTGAGAACCCTGGCTGCAGAACCATGGTCTGAGCACTGGACTTGGGCTGTGGATGTGTTGATTTGACCCCTGCACCACTGTCCACAAAATTTCTAAATTAGTTACCAACATTTAAAAATCAGGTTATTTCTATCTAAAAATGAAATTTCTTCTGATTCTCTTGGGAAAAAGATGGAAAAATCTTAGCCATTGTGATAGTTGACCTTGATTGTCAACTTGACTAGATCAAGAGATCCCTAGGAGATTAGTAAAGCAGACTTCTGGATGTATCTGTGAGGACATTTCCGGCAATGATTAGATTGTGAGAGTTCTGACCTAACAGATGAAGTAATCCCTTGAAGGTTTTGTAGTATCACAGCATTGCTGGGAAATGGTGAAAAGTAGGAGGTGTGGGGGCATGTCTTTGTGGGCTATATTTTTCTTGAACCCTTCCTGCATTCCCCCTTTCTATGCTTCCTATCTATCATGAGGTGAACAGCTCTTCTCCACCACACAATCCCATAGCCATGATGTTCTGTGTAGAGCCAAGTGACCACAAATTGAGTTCTCTGAAACTGTGAGTCAAAATAAATCCTTCCTCCTTCAAGTTGTTTCTGTTAGGTATTTGGTCACAATGTACCTAACTAAAACAGTCACTCTATGTTTACAACAACCTATGTTCCAACAACTGGCTGGAGGTGAGCAGCAGCTACCTTTTCAAATGGGTTCTCTCTCTCCCCAGCTCAGCCCAGCAATGCAACTGCCCAGCCCTACTGCTGCTTGAGTTGTAGCTCCACATCTGGAATGGAAAAAACTCATGAGGACCATATGGTACTTGGTACCATGCCAGCTAGGCTCCCTGTAGAATCCTGGAAAGACTGAGTGACTACAAGCCAGCTTACGATGCAACAGCTAGGGTCAGTGGCTTGCATGATGGTCTCGTGTTTAAGACATGGTTTACTCCTGACTCCAACTCAGTCACAGTGCAGCTCTTGTCCCCACCATATTTCCACGTACTATCAAAGTACAACATCTTGCCCAGTTTCCTCATTGAAAAACTTAAAAAGGAGGTCAGGGTCTTGAGAAGAAATCAATGCCATGGGTCTCAAGTCATGTCCACAACCAGATGCTTTAGGGGAAGGACTCAGAGACACGTGAAGCACCCTATGGTACAGTGCTGTTCACTGGAGAACAGTGGGAAGGAGGCTCCTAGCTGAAGATACAACACTGCTACCCAACGGTGGGAGGACACTGGAGGCTGAGGTTAGATATCCAAAAGGTCATAGATGTACAGATGAAAGGGAAGTTTTCCAAGTCCTTCATGGTTAACAAGGCTGTGGGAGAGGACAACCAGTGCTCTTCTTACCTGCTGTAGGCACACTAACATTATACTGAGGTAAGATGAATAGGAAGGCAGTCTTGGCTGTGACCTGGAAAACAAAGGAGAAAAGTTCTAGTTTAATTTCTTGGCCACATTTTAAAAAAAAAAAAAGTGGAGCCTGCTACCAGCTCCCAGGGCCTACCCCTTTTACATCTCAGACCCCCAAACCTCTTGGATTAAAAATTTTACTGAATACAGAGTTAGCATCAGTTTTTGTTCCATTTTTCCTTAATGACACCCCTGACCCCATACCTGCACTAAAAACCAAAACAAACTTGGGACCCAGATGGTATTTAGACTTATACTGATTGCAGACAGAAGGAAACAAGCTATTTGGCAGGCTGAGAACTCACAAACGATGATACAGATCTCTTTGACATTCATTCATTCATGGGGTGACAACCTTCAAGGGGCTCAGGTCCTGCCACCGTTTCCCCAGCACTTAGGTTACCTGCATGTTGAGCAGTAGCCCCGAAAGAAGTCTGAGCTTCAGAAACAGAGATCTCCAGCTGCTAATTTCATATCTACCCTTCTGTGGGGCATGATTTGTTTATTTCGAAAGCTGCCTGTAGTTTTAGTTGTGCTGTGAAAAACCCTGTGGTTGTCACCTGGTTATTAATAACCAAATCAGTACTGAGACAGGTAAACTACTGGGGACAAATGATAAAACATGAGCATTTGAAACTCAAACTCTAGAATCGACTGCCTGGGTTCCAGTGCTGGCTCTGTTAGCCATGAGCAAGTAATTTTACACTCTGAGCCTAAGTTTCTGGTCTATAAAATCAGGGGTGCAGCTGGGGTGGCACTGGCCCAGCTGTTAAGTGTTGTTTACAGCTCCCCAGATATACAGCTGGGCTGAGCCACCCCCACACTGCTCTGAGATGTGCACCAAGGGCAGGTGAGGAGCAGGCACTGCCCCAGGAGGCCTCTAAAGACACCTCACCAAGAGGAGTTCCCAGTTCTCCCCCAAACACAGAGGTCATAGAATGCACTTCAGGAACAGAGGGACAAATACACTGGAGCACAGCAAAACCAGTGTAGAAATGAGTGGTTGATACAGTGCAGGTCCTCCTGTCACTCCAGTGAGAGGTGGAGGTCTTCAACCTATACTATACAGGCAAGGCCTTCTTTTAAAAAGTAAAAGTCCTCCTGGTGAACAAGACCTGTTACTCAGTGGCATGGTGTCATTTACTTCCTGTAGCATCCTTTCATGTATTTGTGCTGATGTCCAAAACATGTTCTACCAATATCAGGGGAAAATCCAATGAGAAGGAACTCTGGAAAATAATGCACTATCCAACACACAGGTTTCCCCATTCCCTACCCTAAATTAATATTGCTTTGGTCCTTAAGAACTTGTCCAGCCTTCATGACCTCCCTTTCAGCCCAATTTTCTGTATTTCCTTGAGAATAGATGAGTTTGTTTCAGTCAAAATACTCTACTTTCTCTGTGTGTGTGTGGGGGGGGGGGATTAGCCCCTGTCATTTTGTTCCCTCCTTCTATAACCATCTCCCCTGCCACTGAGTTTATCAGCTAGAATCTCACTCATCCTTCGTAACCCTGCTCAACAGTGACCTCTCTGAGATGCTTTCCTAGATGCAGGGGGTGGGCCCTCCCTCACTGTGCTGTATTTCATGATTGCTACCATCTCCATACAACTACCGACTGCTCCTGCCAGCTACTGCCTCCTGTGCTTTCATTTATCCCCAAATGCTCTCTCAAGTAACTAACCCAGATGCATGTAGTAAGTGCTTAATAACTGCTCACTGAGTAAGATGAAAATACAAAAGCCAAATCTGCTTTGCTTAACTGTCTCTGTTCCTAATCTCTAGTGGGAGCTGCTTCCAGAGCTGGCACTTGGGCTACCCTCTGTTATGGACAGCCTTTTCCTCAAGACCCATCCAGCCCCTAAACCAACTGAATACAGCTTTCATGAAGCCCGATGGCCACTGCAGCTGTGATGGTTCTGCCTTTCTGAGTCAGTTCACAGGTTATCCCTGCCCCACCACCTAACTTCTGAGTTGTTCAAGTTTGTCTTTTTAGACCAAAATCCCTGTGAGGGAAGATCAAGAGCTGAAGGAAATGGGAGAAAAGCTGGCAGGAAACATTTACTACATACTCTACCATGCCTCGGCAAACTTCTCCCTTGGTTTCATTTAGAAAATGTACTTGTCTAGCCCAGGCTGGCCTCAAACTCGCAGTCCTCCTGCTTCAACCTTCCAAGTGTTGGGATTGCAGTTGTACACCACAACATTCAGTTTATACTTGCCTTTTAAGACCACAATGAAGAGAAGGGGAGCTTTTGCAGGGTCTTGGCTGCCTGACATTGACTCTCCCCTTTCTAAGAGTGCCAAAGTGTCCTTTGGGAAATGCCTCTCTCCAAGTGTGTGAGGGAATAGGGCATGTGTGGGGTCACTTCTGGTACCTAGAATCCTCCTAGAAAAATGAAGGGAAAGACCCTCCCTTTCCTGAACAGGGGCACAGCCAGTTAAGCCCTCCTCTGGCTCTGGACCTCCTGATTGGGACTGGCCAATGCCTTGAGTCTATAGTGTCTCTTACAGTCAGTCCTGGCCCTGAAAACACCTGGGGGTCATCAGCTGTGTTGGGCCCCCAGAGGTGCCTCCTTAAGTTGGCTGGTGTCCATTACTAAGAAATACTATTATTTGATGTGTAGAACACTGGTGTTCAACCAACCCTGGCTGTAATTAGAATTCCTGGAGGGGATTCTACACCCAACCCCCAAACCCCAGCCAATTAAACCAGGCCCTGTAGGTCACTGGCATTTTGTCCAGATCCCCAGAGCTTTCTAACCTGCAGCCAAGTCCGAGAATCCTTGCATTTTTCTTTCTCCCCAGAAAGACAGCCATTTGGGATGTGGGCTCCATATCTAGTCTTGCTCTATCCCTGCATATATGGTTGATTCTCACTATTCACAGTAGTTATGCTCTATGAAGTAACTGCAAACACTTACTTAGTGAATGCTGAAACATTGTACTCAGGAAAAATGCAAGGTTAGGTTCATACAATCCTCTAGTCACATTTTCACCAACAGATCAATACATAACCTTGTTTTATGTGGGCTGCTAAAAGACACCTTATTTAATGCATAATGAATTCATGGGCAACAGCACTATAGCTCCTGCCTGAATGAAACATGTCTGCCCCATATTTTCTCCCTGGGGCATATCACAGCTTTCTTGTGTTCGGGAGCACCAGAAAGCACTTCAGCACTATTCTTGAAAAATCCCAAAAAAACCCACGGCCCTAAACAGACTACAAAAGGACACTTCTTTATAGGATGAGAGCAGGAACAAGAATGAGCTGAGAAAGTACATGTTGGATGACTGGGGTTTTTGCCCATCTGTGTTCATCTGTGAATGACCCTGGAAACCAAATATAGATTTTAGACTTACAAATGATTTTTGGCAAGTAAGTGAATTCACAAAAAACAAAATCCACAAATAGTGAGGATCAAATGTATTAGGGCAAACCTGAATGGCAGCTCCATGGAAGCCAAGACAGCTTTATTAGGTATAATTTACACTCCATAAAATTCTCCCATTTTAAGCGCTCAGCTCGAAGGGATTTATCTTTCTTTTAAAACCGTCTCTTGCTTCATGAGAATGTAAGTTCCGGGAGAGTGGGGAACTTTCTTGCCTTGAAGATCTTCAATGAACAGTCTTAAATGGAGTTGAGGCCAAAGCTGACTCAGCTATAAGTGCTTGTCACAGGGACACAACCATCAAGCAGAAAAGCCAGACTGTGCTCAGCCAGCTAGATTGTGATCTGCAGCCCATCACCTGCCCATGTTAATACTTCTGTGTAACTGTTTTCTCTCGCCGGGTCTGTCCCAGTGCTGGGTATGTACTAGGTGTCTCATAAATATCCATTTGATGAACTCATACTGCAAGCAGCTGTAATATTTAGTAACCACAGATGAATGCTTAATACGTGTTTTCTGAACATAATTCTAAGAGAACAGGCTCTAGAATCCTGATTTAAGGCAAAAATACTAGATTCCAGTATTTTTCCATCCCACGCCCCTGGTACTGGCAGTAGAAACCAATTCTAAACCACGCATCTTTCTTCATAAGCAGTTCTGACTTGCTCAGTTTCCGTTTCATAGATAAAGAAACTAAACTTCAGGACAGAGAGGGAAAGTGGCCTCCCAAGACCTCACAAAAGTCAAGCAAAAAGGCAACAGTCAACTTGAGTTTTTATAAACTTGTTCCAAAAACAAGTTCTGCATACACACAATACAGCACATAATATAGAATTGGCAACAACAAAAAAAAAAATGGAAGCAGAGGACCAAAACCAAAACCAAAACCAACCAAACAAAAGACATATCAAAGGCAAAGAGAAGGAGCAAGCAATGAGGCTGATCTGTAAACGTGTATTCCAGGAAGTCCCACTCATCATCAGAAATTTGGCTCTTAGCTTCTTCATCTGAAGGAGGAAAAAGTGATCAGCTTCTAAATTCACTAGGAGCTTCTAAATTCTAACAAGGAGGAGGAAGAGGAAGAGGAGGGAGAGGAAAAGAAGGAGAAAGAGAAAAGGGTATTGACCAAAAGAGTAATCCTACTTGCTCATCACAAAAACCACTGTGTGCTTTCAAAGGTCCTTTGGCACCCCAAATCTTCATTCCATAACCCTCTCCTGACCTCAGGAGAGGGAACAAACACTAACAAGCCCGTCTCTGCAAGTACTGGTTGGGTTTGTGTAGCACAGAGGGCTGAGAAACAGGGGCCTATTAAAAATGTCATTCCAATTATTTCTTATCCCTCTAAGACTGTTTATAGGAAACATTACTGACTTTAATAGCATTTTGAATGCCAAGCTCAGTGGGTGAAAGGTTAAAAGTGACAATGTGCTAATGCACTAATGCAAAGAGAGAACACTAAATTACATAGGAGGGGCCACTCCCCCTCCCCCTCCGTGTGTGTGTGTGTGTGTGTGTGTGTGTGTGTGTGTGTGAGAGAGAGAGAGAGAGAGAGAGAGAGAGAGAGAGAGAGAAAGTGCATTAAAATTTTAACTCGATAAGGTAC